CATTGAAATTGTTTTTTGACAGAAAACTGGGGTTTTGACTAGATGGATTTTTTTGCAAAAGGTGTGTTTTCCACCAAAAAAAATGTTTTTTTTTTTTACTGAAAAACCAAATGCCTGAAAACTAAAATATTTCAGTATGGAAATACTGCTGCAGTGCCTTGTGGGAGTTGTAGTTCAGGCACCTCATGTCTCCATTTTCCTCTGTGGGCCAGGCTCCCCTCCCAGACTACATCTCCATGATGTACTGGCCAGGGACTCCCATGATGCACCACTTCCACCAAGAGGGACCACCATGGTGCATCATGGGCAATATAGTCTGACCAGGGAGTCTGGGATATAGGGGACAATGGGAGCCTGTGGCACTTAACTACAACTCCCATGAGGCACCACAGTGGTATTTCCAAAAACAAATATTTCAGTTTGTTTTTCAGCCAAAATATTCAGACTTTGATTTTTCCATCAGAATTTTCTATGGGGGGAAAAAATCTATTTTCTGACCAGCTCTAAATGTAATAGTTCATTTTTGAGTCTGATGGGATACTGCTAGAGTCTTTCACATACATTTGAACAGGCAGGCAGGGTTTGCCTGAAAAACCCCACCCTCTGAGCAGGGATTGCAGAAAGGTCTGCTGGGAAAGGTTTTACTATTAGTAGCAGTAGAAGTAGCTTAGTAGCACCTAGAGGCTGAGATTGGAGCCCTACTGTGCTAGGCACTGTACAAACACATAGTAAGAGACAGTCGCTGCCCCAAACAGCTTGCACTCTGACCAGACAAGACAGGTGAAGAAAGTATTCTTATTCCCATTTTATAGATGGGAACTGAGCACATAAATTTAAGTGACTTGCCCAAGACCACAGACAGAGTCTGTGATGGCAGAGTTTGAAAGTGGACCCAGATATCCAGAATTCCAGTCCAGTACCCGAAGCACACAACCGTCCTGCCTTTCTGCTGACTCACTGCTGCAGCTGGCTTGTTACCACACCCAAATACAAAGGAAAAAGACAGACCTCTCTAGTCAGATTGGATATAAGGTGTGGCCTAAGTAACTCCCAGCGAAGAATCCTGGGAGCTGCCACGCTTGCCAAGATGGCTTAAGTTGGCTTTTGTGTTTCTCTTGGAATTCTGTTTGTGAATAAAACCAAATCCTAGGAAGGGGCTATGTTCTGAATCAATACAGTGTGAGAGACCTGAGTGCAGAAAGGCAGGGAAGCCGGTTCTCTCTCAAACATACTTCTCAGCCCTCCAATTTAATTTAATTTTAAAAAATTTCCTCTCTGTTAATGTTGATCATCACCAGTGGAACCATTTTTCCCTGGGATTTGGGATGGGGGAGAATTAATAGGTTACAGACATGTACTGGTTAAAACTGAATCCTTCCAAACCTGCTATAGTTACATACCCCTGCAGGCTACAAACCCGAGGTGAGACAGCATCTGGCATACCATATGCAGGTCTGGTCTCTGCTCTCTTACAGTAGAAACTGAGAAGATACGCATTCAAACAAGGGAAACCAAAGTGACACAGAGACGTGAGAATTCCATCAGCAGGCAAAGAATAAAGAAGACATGTTTATTTATTTAGCCTAAAGAAACTGTCCTTGAGGGAGGACATGATGATGCTGGATAAATCCTGAGGACCAGATCCTCAGCTGATGTAAATCAGTGTAACTCCAGTGATTTCTGTGGAGCTGCCCTGATTTACAACAGCCTACCATCTGGCCCTGATAGAGCAATAATAAAGTGAGAGAAGGAAAATGATTATTTACATTGAAATGAAGTGATGGGTTTTATCTTAGTTATACTGGAGTAAATCTGGAGTAACTTGAGCTCAAAATAGGAATCAGATCCTGCAGGCCAAATTCATCCCTAGTGTTTCTCCATTTACTCCAAATGAGTTCATAGCAAGGATGAAAATACATGAAAGTAAGCACAAGTCTTCTCATTGGTGTTGGCTGCTTCCCAGATTCCTCCTTAAGCTTTGCTCAGCTCGCACCCTTGGTCCTCGCTCACTAGAAGGCCACTCCTACCTCCCTAATATCTAGGAGGGGTAGGGAAATACCTGCCTCAGCGTATCCCACCCAACACTTTCCCGCAGGACCATCACCTGCTGCCAGCCTGCTACAGGGAGTCACATGGCTAGAAAGTTTGCACAATACACTGAAAAGAGACCCTTCGAATGCCTGCAAGCTGTGGGTTTTGATTCCTTTTATTGCATTATAATGAACATGTTTGGAATTACCCCTCACTCTAGACAATTCACATGTGCTATTCAGAGTTTCCTCAGAGGCTGAAATAGCAGCTGGCCCCCTTTGCATTCTGCAAAAATAATGCTGTAGACAAAATGCTACTCTCTGGTATTTCATCCAGTTAATTGTTTCTCTCCCAGTACAGAAAAATCCACATTTCCGTTAAAAGCATGCTCTCTAAAACACACTGCAGCACTGAGCCAGTGTCCCTGCTCAGGTTTCAGAGTGGTAGTCATGTTAGTCTGTATCAGCAAAAACTGCAAGGAGTCCTTGTGGCAGTGTCTGCAGCACGACAGAGCACCACTCATGGGACTGAGCACAGAAGCTTGTCCATTGCACATATGTACTGTATCTGAAATGTGAAATACCATCAATTTCTCCTCTGTTCAGTACTGCTATTCTGTGTTCTACAGTAGCATCTACAGGCACCAGCTGGGATTGGGCCCCGTTGTGCTAGGCGCTGTACGTACACATAGCAAGAGACAGTACCATCCATTAGGAGCTTGCATTCTAAATAGACAAGACAGACAAAGGGTGGGAGGGGAAACAGAGGTACAGGGAAGGGAAATGACTTGTCCACGGTCATATAGCAGGTCAGTGGCAGAGCGAGGAATACAACCCAAATCTGTCTCACACCAGTGTTCAGCTAGATCAGGTTGCTCCCTTTGTTTATGTTATTTAGCATGTACAGAGTCATACCATATGTCTCATCATAGGTGAATAGGTCGTATATAGTTTCACACTCTGACATGTATGGGCCAGATTCTGATCTCTCTGAAACAGAGGTAAATCAGGAGTCAGTGAAGCTACACTGTTGTTAACCTGGTGTAAGAGCAGAGTCAGGCACCATGAGAAGCAGGAGGCACAGACATGAACTGGGGTGCCTGGAGCAATGCCGATTGACGGATGATACAACTTCAGCAGAAGCGTCCACGGATCAGCTGAGCACTGAACACAAAGAGTGCGGGACTTGGTGTGCAGTGACAATGGACAAAGCTCAGAGACTTCAGAGCTTCAAGATGGATAAATCCCCTCAAGTTCTGGAAGTGTCTGTGCTGCCTCCAAATGGTCAAAAGGATCTGCAGAATGGACCATAAATCTCATGGAACAGGATTTTACAGTAGATTTAAAGTTCTTCCTGCTTCTCATCCAACCAGGAATACCAACAGGACAGCATGTTTCACTGTACTCAAATGCTTCTGCTCCCCAGCCAGACTGGGCCCCAGATGGGCAGAGGCACTGGGAAAAAGTGGTTGAAAGTTAACCCAACCTTTTCATGCTGGGTTTGGTTGGAGTTGGGGGTGGCCTGTCCAGGAGTTGGTTTGGTATCTGCACTGGTGCTCAGATCAGATATGGAGATGACCACAATAATGTTCAGTATAACACTGGGAGAAGAAAGGAGCAGAGTGTACAGGAAGGAATGAGAAAGTGTTCCTCCTTAGCGTGGAAAGGAAGCTCCCATCTGTCTGGAAAGAATTTGAACACTTATGCATTGCCAGACAGGATGTTATGGAACAGAAACACCCCAGGCAGAAGCTCCCAGAGAGGAAAGAGGGCCTCCTAGCTGCCCCGGCAAGGAGAGCAGGGGCTGATTCTTGTCCCTGGAAGGGCCTATAAATGGGGGAGCAAACTGATGCACTTCCCCTAGTGAAGAGTTGCCATGGCAGAAAGGAGTGGGTGGGGCCAACAATGTAGTGCTGGGTTTGGGGAGGGAGGAATGGCTGGCCCGCTCCTGTCTTTCTCCGGGAGGGAGGGAGGAGTCCTCAGCCATTCTTAACCTCAGAAATGCTGCTGTTGGATTCCAGCTCTAAGACTGAGCGGAAACCATGTGGGGGACATCTAGGGTGACCAGACAGCAAGTGTGAAAAATTGGGACAATAGAAGAAAAAGACCCAAAAATCAGGACTGTCCCTATAAAATCGGGACATCTGGTCACCCTACGGACACCTAGCCAATCTAACTGACCAACCTGCTACCCAGGGCCAACAATTCCTCCTACTCCTCATTCCCTGGTCAATGTCACACTGAGAAAGGGACCTGGCAGATTAGCAGCTGTACTGATGATGAGCAAAAAGTGTCCAGCAAATGCCACTTTCCTGGATTACATCAAGGGGCAAAGAGTGAGCCCCTGCCGGTTTGGGTAAATGAATGCCCAGCCCAGCAACCCCAGCTGAGCATCACAGTCCTGAGAAGTTCTGTGAATAGAACTGTGTCCACATGCTAATGCGGTCAGGGCCCTTCTGCTGAGACACCCAGACCATTTCCCTTTTATGTACTTCTCATAGGGCTGGTCCAAACAGAGAGGGGATCAGCTGGAAACAAATTATACACTATGATCCCTGGCTGAGATCAGTGGGGGAATATGGCCCTATGGTGCTGAGTGGGCTCTGCACTGCTTCAGGTGGGATGTAAAACCCAAGAATGATTCTCCCTGCATTCCTCCAGGGTGTGCAGAACCCTAGTACTCTGTGGGAGCTTTCATTCCCATGAGCACAATAGTTTCCTTTCCTCCCCAGCCCATCCCGTTCCACCCCATTCCCACATCATAAAGTGAGAACTCTTTTGTGAGCTGTCTCCTGAATGAGTCCCACACTGTGGATGTCACAGGAGTAGCACTAGGAGCCTCTGGGACAAAATAGAAGCAGCTTTCTGGGAGAGATTAGCAGCGCTACCTGCAGCTTCAGAGCTGAGCCAGGCAAAAGAAGCTGAAGGGCTCATGAAAACGTGGACCCTATACCAGGGTGTCTCCAAACCGTTCACTGGGGATGCCGTTTGTGCCATCTCAGAGTGTTAGCAAAGCAAAGCAGAACAGACCGCTGAGGCTTGACCCTTTTGTTTTTCTGTTGTCCAGCAGCATACCCAGCAGCCTATGCACCTATCAGCCAGGCCTTTCCCCAGCAAGCGCCCATCATTCCACAGCAGCAGAGAGAAGGTAAGGGGGGGCGCGTTCGGGAGGGGACAGGCTGAATGATGAATTCATTTATGTGGGTCTATTCGCTGGGTCTACGGCTATTCTGGGGTCGGGGAGCGACATCTGTTGGTCAATAAAGTAGTTTGTGGGGGGGGGGTGAGAGAAAAAGAGAGCCCATTAAAAAGGAAAGATAAGTGAATGCTGTTAGACTTTGCTGCTTCAAAGACCATAGAAGGTCTCAGAAGAAAAGATTTCCAGGCTAGGAGATAAATAAGCAGCCCCAGTAATTTGAAAGGCAATATCCAGGCAAGTCTATTTTCCTGGGTTGAGGTAAGTGATTGAAGTCCATGCTACCAGAGAGGCTTAATAGAAATCAGCCATATCCCAGAGGAAGAAGAATTACTGGTAGCATGTGTGTGTATAGGTGTTTTCATGTAATCCCAGAGATCGATGGTTGGATGATATGTAGATGAATGGAAAGGATGAATGAGAAGATAGATAAGTGATGGGTGATGTGCAAATAGATAAATAGGGAAATTGAGACATGCCAGGAAAGCTGGGTGAAAAAAATGAAAAGAAAAAGATGGGAGGAAACATAGCTGGAGAGGTGGAGTGGGATGATGGACAGAGTAATGGGCATACACAGGGACTTGAATGAACTGGTGAAAGGAAATGGCTGAATTGCCAAGTGAACATTTAGATATATTGCTGAATGGGCAAACAGTTACATGAAAAGACCTAGAGATGTAGGGAGAAATGTGTGGGCGTAGATGGCTGGCTGGGTATGTCAACGCAGGGCTAACAAAGCAATGCTGGGCCTATGGGTGAATGGAGTAACAGGTAGCTGGACACATTTAGAAAGAGATGGGCGGGTGGATTGAGAGAAGGATGCACTAGTAATTTACTAGAGAGACGACTCAGTGGCTGAAGATGCTCATTGCAATGCCAGCTCAAACACAGTACACTGCACAAGTCTGAGAAAGAGGAGGAAGGCACATGTGGCCTCTTTGCTAATGGGTGGCTGTTCTTTGTGTGTGCACGTGTGTTATCCCAGGTCCCGAAGGATGTAACCTGTTTATTTATCACCTGCCCCAGGAGTTCGGAGATGCGGAGCTCATGCAGATGTTTTTGCCTTTTGGCAATGTCATCTCTGCCAAAGTCTTTGTTGATCGTGCCACCAACCAAAGTAAATGCTTTGGTAAGTACCAGAGAACCTGCTCTCATCTTTCCCTCCAGGAGTTTTGCAGCATTGGCTCCTTTGGATAGTTGGGTCTCCTGTTGCATTTCACACGAAAGAGCATTTTGATGCATAGTGATGCTATGCTTCATTAAGGAGCCAATTAATCCAATCAGTGGCCAGGCTTACCAGCAAATCTGAGCTATTTGGGAAACACATGGGACATTTCTTCAATCCCACTCCAGTTACACACAAAGCAATCCGCATATGAACACTTTCTGCCTAAACTGATAGCAGAGAGACTAGATCCAGCATCGCCTCTGCAAATCACATCATTATTGATATGTCCAATCTGTTACATAAATAAGCTGGAACCGTGTCTGAAAGGACTGACCACTCAATGAACCAACAACACTCCTAGGTGGGCTTCTGAAGGAGGTGGCACAGAATGGTACTCCGTACACCAGGGTGTGAGATGGTATGTTAGTGCATTCCATTCGGACAGGAGGTTACCTGGTTAGGGATGCTGCTTGCACAGGTCTCACTGTGTTCCAGAGGCTGAGATGTTCTCTTTAGAAATGAATAAAAGTTGATTTCTCCAACATGAAATATACCCAGATCCGCAGGGTTTTGTGGCAAAGTTCCAGCAAAGTGAAACTGGTGAAATGTTATGTCCGGGGTTTCCTTCCTTTCATTCATAAGAACATAAGTATGGCCATACTGGGTCAGACCAAAGGTCCATCTCACCCAGTATCCTGTCTTCTGATAGTGGCCAATGCCAGGTGCCCCAGAGGGAATGAACAGAACAGGCAATCATCAAGTGATCCATCCCCTGTCACCCATTCCCAGCTTCTGGCAAACAGAGGCTAGGGACACCATTCCTGCCCATCCTGGCTATTTGCCATTGATGGACCTATCGTCCATGAATTTATCTAGTTCTTTTTTAAACCCTGTTATAGTCTTGGCCTTCACAACATCCTCTGGCAAGGAGTTCCACAGGTTGAAACTCCTCCTGTGCATTGTGTGAAAAAATACTTCCTTTTGTTTGTTTTAAACCTACTGCCTATTAATTTCATTTGGTGACCTCTAGTTCTTGTGTTATGAGAAGGAATAAATAACACTTCCTTATTTATTTTCTCCACATCAGTCATGATTTTAGAGACCACTATCATATCCCCACCTTAGTCATCTCTTTTCCAAGCTGAAAAGTCCCAGTCTTATTAATCTCTCTCTATATGGAAGCCGTTCCATACCCCTAATCGTTTTTGTTGCCCTTTTCGGAACCTTTTCCAATTCCAATATATATTTTTTGAGATGGGGCAACCACATCTGCACACAGTATTCAAGATGGGGGCGTACCATGGATTTATATAGAGGCAACATGATATTTTCTCTCTTATTATCTATCCCTCTCTTAATTATTCCCAGCATTCTGTTAGCTTTTTTGACTGCCACTGCACATTGAGAGGATGTTTTCAGAGAACTATCCACAATGACTCCAAGATCTCTTTCTTGAGTGGTAACAGCTAATTTAGACCCCATCATTTTATATATATAGTTGGGATTATGCTTTCCAATGTGCATTACTTTGCCTTTATCAACATTACATTTTATCTGCCATTTTGTTGCCCAGTCACCCAGTTTTGAGAGATCCTTTTGTAGCCCTTTGCAGTCTGCCGGGGTCTTAACTATCTTTAGTAATTTTGTATCATCTGCAATTTTTTCCATCTACTGTTTACCCGTTTTTCCAGATCATTTATGAATATGTTGAATAGGACTGGTCCCAGTACAGACCCCTGGGGGACACCACTATTTACCTCTCTTCATTCTGAAAACTGGCCATTTATTCCTACCATTTGTTTTCTATCTTTTAACCAGTTACCAGTCCATGAGAGGATCTTCCCTCTTATCTCATGACAGCTTACTTTGCTTAAGAGCCTTTGTGAGGGACCTTGTCAAAGGCTTTCTGAAAATCTAAGTACACTATAATCAATTGGATCCCCCTTGTCCACATGCTTGTTGACCCCCTCAAAAGAATTCTAGTAGATTGGTGAGGCATGATTTTCCTTTATAAAAACCATGTTGACTCTTCCCCAACAAATTATGTTCATCTATGTGTCTGACAATTTTGTTCTTTACTAGTACTGAAGTCAGGCTTGCCGGCCTGTAATTGTCGGGATCACCTCTGGAGCCCTTTTTTAAAAATTGGCGACACATTAGCTATCCTCCAGTCATTTGGAACAGAAGCTGATTTAAATGATAGGTTACAGACTACAGTTAGTACTTCTGCAATTTCACATTTGAGTTCCTTCAGAACTCTTGGGTAAATACTATCTGGTCCTAGTGACTTATTACTGTTTAGTTTATCAGTTTGTTCCAAAACGTCCTCTAATGACAACTCAATCTGGGACAGTTCCTCAGATTTGTCACCTAAAAAGAATGGCTCAGGTTTGGGAATCTCCCTCACATCCTCAGCCGTGAAGACCAATGCAAAGAATTCATTTAGTTTAACCACAATGGCTTTATCATCCTTGAGTGCTCCTTTAGCATCTTGATCATCCAGTGGCCCCACTGGTTGTTTAGTAGGCTTCTTGCTTCTGATGTACTTAAAAAAAAATTGCTATTACTTTTCGAGTCTTTGGCTAGCTGTTCTTCAAATTCTTTTTTGGCCTTCCTAATTATATTTTTGCACTTCATTTGCCAGAGTTTATGCTCCTTTCTATTTCCCTCACTAGTATTTAACTTCCACTTTTTAAAGGATGCCTTTTTGTCTCTCACTGCTGCTTTTACTTTGTTGTTTAGCCACGGTGCACTTTTTTGGTTCTCTTACTATGTTTTTTTTCATTTGGGGTATACATTTAAATTGAGCCTCTATTATGGTGTCTTTAAAAAGTTTCCATGCAGCTTGCAGGGATTTCACTTCTAGTGCTGTACCTTTTAATTTTTGTTTAACTAACTTCCTCATTTTTGTGTAGTTCCCCTTTCTGAAATTAAATGCTACAGTGTTGGGCCGCTGTGGTGTTTTCCCCGCCACAGGGATGTTACATTTAATTATATTATGGTTAAGGCTCTGTGTTTGTCACAGAGGTCATGGAAGCCACGGATTCCATGACTTTCCGTAACCTCCGTGACTTCTGCAGTGGCCCGTGTGGCTGGCCCAGGAGCCGCCTGAGCAGCTCAGGCAGCGCCTGGGCCAGTCACACCAGTCTTGGGCCCCACCGCCCCCCAGCAGCAGGAGTTTGGGTGGTGGGGGGCTCAAGCCTGGGGATTAGGGTGTGGGGCAGTGCTTATTGGGGTGGGACTCCCTGGAAGGGTGACAACAACTCCCCAGCCGCAGACACCTCCCCCGCAGCTCCCATTGGCCACAGTTCCCAACCAATGAGGGGGTGCTGTGGGTGCTTGGGGGGAGGGGGTGGCCCCAGGGGCACTGTGGGTACTCGGGGGGGGCAGGGCCTTGGAACAGAGCAGAGGTAGCACGTGGAGCTAGGAGCTGGAGATCGCCGCTTCCCAGGAGCCAGGTAGGGAACCTGCCCCAGGCCCACCAACTCTCCCCCCCACCCAGCACCCGTGACACCCCCCCCCGGGCCACAACCTCCCCACGAGCACCCGTGGCACCCCTGGGGCTGTCCCTCCCCAGCACCCACGGCACCCCCCGGGATCCCCCCAAGCCCCTGTGGTGCCCCCGGAGCTGCTTCCCCCCCCAAGTTTTAGTCGGGTATATAGTAAAAGTCATGGACAGGTCACTGGCTGTGAATTTTTGTTTATTGCCCATGACTTGTCCTTGACTTTTACTAAAAATACCCATGACTAAAACATATCCTTAGCTATGGTCACGATTACTCATAGACTCATAGACTCATAGACTTTAAGGTCAGAAGGGACCATTATGATCATCTGGTCTGACCCCCTGCATGCTGCAGGCCACAAAACCGTCCCTACCCCTTCCCTTGACTCTGCTGTTGAAGTCCCCAAATCCTGTGTTTTAGTGACTTCAATTGGCAGAGAACCCTCCTGCTAGCGATCCCTGCCCCATGCTGTGGAGGAAGGCGAAAAACCTCCAGGGCCTCAGCCAATCTACCCTGGAGGAAAATTCCTTCCCGACCCCAAATATGGCAATCAGTAAATCCCCGAGCATGTAGGCAAGAGTCTCCAGCCTGACCCTTGTTAGCCATTATACTATTTACCTGCCATTGCTCGGTATTCCTTGGCTAATATGTTTTTCCATTAAACCATTCCCTCCATAAACTTATCTAACTTAATCTTAAAACCAGACAGGTCCCTTGCCCCCACTGTTTCCCTCGGAAGGCCGTTCCAATATTTCACCCCTCTGACTGTCAGAAACCTTCGTCTAATTTCAAGCCTAAACTTCCCCACGGCCAGTTTATATCCATTCGTTCTCGTGTCCACATTAGTACTAAGCTGGAATAATTCCTCTCCCTCCCTTGTATTTATCCCTCTGATATATTTAAAGAGAGCAATCATATCAACCCTCAGCCTCCTTCTTCTCGGAATCAGAAGCCCCATCGTTTCAGTCCGCCTATCCTCTACC